GAAGAGAAAAACCGCGCCCGGGGGGGGGGGGGGGTGATGGCCACACCACAATCCCTTCTCCTCCATTCTATTCGCAGGATTTTGGGCTTGCACACACATGCATCTGGCTTGAGTTTTAAGCCGCCAGGTCTCGGACTCAAACTACAGTCAACTATGTGGGAATCCAGCAACGTAATCATTACGTCATCTGCTAGTCCCCTCAGTTAGTTTTTTATCCACTCTATGAAACAGAATTAATACCTATTATAGGTGAGGAATGGCAGACTGTATGGAAAAATAGCCACGATAATGCCCACTATTGGGCACTCCCCTACCACAATGACCTGGGCTTAACTTTGTGACTTGCTTTGGCCAATGGATCAACAGCAAACCCGATATATGCAGAGATTTGAACATTTCTTGGGCTCATTGGGCTTTGTCTGTTTTTTCTGTACTTGAACTCTTCCACTACCATGTGAGCAAGCTCTAGCTAGCCTCCTGGACAATGAGAAACACAGGGCCAAATCATTATCAATGCCCCTGGTGACATGGTCAACCATCAGACATGTAAATATGACCATTCTAAACAATTCAGCCTCAGCCAAGACACCCAGAAGATGATAGACACATGAATAAAACCAGGAAAGATCAGCCTAACTGGCCCGAACCAGAGTAATGGCTCTGCCAACGCACAGACTCTTTTGAGAAATGGTAAATATTTGTAAGTCACTAAATTGTTGAATGGTTTGTTACACAGCAAAACTAACTGATGCATGAGGAGATGATGCTTAGAGACATAAAATGACTTGTAGTCACAGAGGTATGAATGGAGGCTCTTTCTCCACAGTGTGCCTTTCTCCTTGACCTTATGTTACTTATCAAATGAACAAGGATAATGAGCAAGAGCACCCTGCTCACTTCCCGGTGCTCAGAAAATGTTCTGAAAATCACCCAAGTCCAATATTATGTATTTTATAAGCATATATTCTCATTTTCTACCACCTTCTGTTGTGCATACCTGAAATACATGGCTCAAGCTCCCCAGTCCTGCCTATTTGGGGAATTTCTCCTTTAGGCCTCTTCTAGGCTATGGCCAGGAGAATAGTAAGAGCACTTCTCAACCCAAGTGCTCACTTTAAACCAGGGAATATGAAGCAGTCTGCCTACCATCTGTCTTCTCCATCTTAGGGGATGTGGCTGACCCTCAGTCTCTCAGGTACTTTTCATCCGATGAGTCCGTAAAATTGGTTGAAGGGTTCTGAAAGAAAGAAGGATAGAGAAGTGGAGAGTCTCATTAGAACTAGAATAAAATAATGTTGAGGAAATACAGTCCCAAAGAAACCATCCCTGGCTTTCTTTCAGGGGTGCCCATGAGTTCACAGCTTTCCAAGGAGAGAGATTAAAAGTCTGTGCATGGGACCAGCAAATAGTGTAATGGACTCCCATGTAGTCGACCACAGTTCAAATCCCAGACCCAGTGGCTTAAAACTCACACCAGGTGCATGTGCGTGCATGCTCAAGGTCCCAAGAAGAGAATGGAGGAGAAGGGATTGCAGTGTGGCCATCCCCCTGGGGAGGGAGAGTGATTTCTCGCTTTCTGTCTCTGTCTCTCTGGAGAGTGCACATGCCCTATAGCAAAAATCTCTCTTAAAAAAAAAGTCTATGTGCATTCTGAGAGCCCAGTCCTAAGTGTTTCGTGGAATAATAGCCATAGTTGACATCGAAGATGCAGTTGTTCCAACCTCCCTCACTTGGCGGATGAGGAAACTGAGGCTGCAAAGCTAATTGCTCTGTCCAAGTCTCCATCCTATTAGTGCAGGAGCTGGAACCAGACCCAGGCTTCTGACCAGCACAGAGCTCCTTCCATAATATCAAGGGTTGGAAGGTATCTACCCTCATCCTCCCAAGAGAATTATAATTCATGTGGTGAACGGGCAGGAGTGAGAGTACCCATAAATGAGGTGTGACATCCCAGTCACACAGGAGACAGAGATGAGAGCACTGTGGTTCTGACAAAGCTCTGCGACTCTGCTCTCACCCAGGGCAGAACACGGGGAAGTTCAGGCCAGGAGGCCAGACGACCTCAGTCACTATTCAAGCAGAATTCTGCTCTGACTTGGAATGAGTGTACTGGGAGGCCTGACCATAAATTCTCCCCCAAATTTTAATCCATTTCCAAAACTCTTTCATCACATAGTAAACAACCTCGCTCCTGCCCCCAGTACAATCAATCACCCAGGAAATTGGCTTTTTTATGATGATAACTCCACATACATCAGAACAATGAATTACGTGTGGCACCGCAGCAGCAGACGCAGAGTTGTCTTAGAAATTCTAATGTGCTTGGCAATGGTGTCCAGACCAGAAAGGAGGGCCAGTGGTTAGGCAAGGGGTAGAGGGAAACAGAGCGAAAGAGACGGATGTGGGGTGACCCCAGCCACTGAGGATGGAAAAAAGGGAGAACAGACAAGCAACCGGAGAGGAGGGTTGGGAAACACAAGGCCACAAATAAGGAGAAAGTCTAAAGTTTATGTTTCCTTCTTTTTTTTTTCTTTTGCTAGAGAGTACATGTGCTTGCCACAGAGAGACAGAGAGATGGAAAGGAGTAAGCACCTCCCATGGGAACGGGAGCGGGGTCACACATATGCATTATTCTGATGTATGTGAAGGTATAACGCCATAATCACATCTCTTCCATCTCTCCCTCCTTTCATGATTTGGGGCACACACGCACATAAGCCCAGTGTGTTTCTCAAGCTGCTGGATCTGGGGCTCAAACTGCATGATCAGCCCTGTGGGATCCAGCTGCTTTAACCACCAGGCCATGGAGCCGGCCCAGGATGAGCTCTTCCTGTGAGTGCTGCTCCTGCCTCCAACTTCTTGCCCCGCCTCTTGCCTTGGAGCCTCCACACGGCTTTCTACGCAGATGTTAGAGGAGCCTTCCCCATAACTTTTCATAGGTTTGAAGGGACCTTCAAGAGCAGGCATGCTTTCTAGAAGCAGAGACATTCTTTGCAGAAGAAATGATCATACTAAGTAGCTTGCTTACCTTTGAAGCGGTGAGTACTTGACCTGCAAGTACCTGAGTCTGATGGAGGCACAGAGCTGGGCAGAGAAAAAGTTAGGGAAAAGGAAGACAAGAGTAGAGATGGTCTTGGAGGCTGAGTACAGCCTCTAAGGAGGCAGACAGGGCAGAGGCCTGGGCCGAGGGAGCGTGGCCCTTGTTATAAAGAGAAGGCTCCTAGGCAGAGGACCTTCTGCTTCTCAGCGCCCCAGCTCTGCATTCCGTAGTGGGAGATGCTGGCAGGAGAGTCCCAGCAGTGTCCGGTGATGGGAGGAAAAGGCCCCTCACCTCCACCTTCACAGCCTCTCTTTTTTTCTTCTGCTCACTTCCCTACTCCTTCCCACCTTAAAACCTTCCTGAGTAACAGGCAGAGCTTGGAGCACTTGACATACACAAATTATTTCATGCAATCCTTACCCAAAGAAGAGTGCTATTATTCCCATTTTTCGTATAGGGAGACTGAGGCTGAGAGTTGGTAGGCCTGCCCAAGGTCACATAACCAAGATTTGCCGTGTTGAGTGAGCTCCAAGCTAGGCTGGGAAGGGAAGTGTTTAAACATTTGCTCACCCCCGTAAGCCAGACCCGTTCGCTGGCGCCACGATAGCCCCTAGTTCTCTGGCGGAGTAGAAAGATTTCTGACTGATGCTTCTCTGCTTCTCCTGCATGGACATGGAAAGCTATCTGGGCCAAGAGGAGAACTGCTCTCTTACAAAGCCTCCTGGGCCAAAGGAGATTTCAGCTCCTCCATGGTGTCCAGCCACTAGGATCCTGTTGAGGAAGAGGGGTCACATGGATGCAGATGACCTCTGGCTGCACAAGCTCTCAGCGTCACCCTGGGGACTTCAGTCACACTCACTGCCTTTAGTTAGAATTAGGAATCCAGGGGGCCAGCAGATGGCGTAGCAATTATGTCACTGTACTCTCACATAGCCGGCTGTGGTTCAAGTCCTGGACCTGGTGGCTTCAAATTCATGCCAGGGGCTTGAGTGTGTGTGCCCAAGATCCCAGGAGGAGAATGAAGGAGAAGGGATTGCAGTGTGGCCATCCTCCCAGGGGGTGGTTTCTCGCTTTCTGTCTCTGTTTCTCTCTGGCCAGTGCACATGCCCTACAGCAAAATCTCTCCAAAAAAAAAAGAATTAGGAATTCAGTCTACTGAGTCTCTAATCACATGACTTCAAAGAATTATTCAGCACACAATATGTCAAATTTCATTAAAAAGAATTCTATAGAGACCTCTAGGATTTCTCTGGGACTTGAGTTTTACTACAATTAGTCATTTCAAGGCTACAGAAAAGAAGTGGAGCTGACACCCCACTCTGAGGAAGGGGCTCAGCAGCTGTTCACACGAAAGGACTCTAAATCCAGGAAGGAAGGAGGGAACTGCCGCGTGCACACGCCCAGCCCCCACCACTGCCGTCTTCTCCACTTTCCTCCATGGTCCTGGGGCAGGTGGCTTGGCGTTTAGCTAAGAGGGCTGCCTTGCTGTGGGTGGAAGTTCGATGTGGGAGGTGAGTGGAAGAGAAGAATAACCACCGTGAACACATGCCGCTTTGTTTGCAATACAACAGAATATGAAAGTCACTTTGTTGGACATATTCCCCTTTTAAATGGAATTTTGCAACCTTTTGGGGCACTTAACGCTTTGACATAAAGCAATTTATCACTCATTCTGTTAGCTGGAGCCCAAGTGCTTAGCACCTTTTAATACTGGACGTTGTTCTGTACCCTTCCATTTGTCTATGTCCTGTCCTAGGTCAAGAATCCTTAGTTAGGGCCTGACCTTTGTCATTAGCTCATCATTTCCCAGGTGTTTTGAGTCCAGATAGCTTTCTCTCTAGCTCACCTCCCTTACCAATGCATAAACTTGGGGAGGTCAGAATGCCTGCAAGACCCATTCCTTCTTGCATAACCCCCAACTCCCACGTCCACTCAACACATGGCAGATACTCGGTCAATGGCTCTTAAATGACAACAAAAAGGAGCAAAATGACCTGGCTTTGAAGGGAACCCCTGGGAAGAAATGAACAGGTGCTAAGTACTCACTCTGGGAATCGGGTCAGGGTGGAATTTCCCGTTTCACCCTCATACAAACAATTCTGGGAAACGGGGATCGTGTCTAAGTTCCACATGAGGAAACGCATGCACGAAGAGGTTCTGTGGCCTCCAGTTACCCAGGTAATTAGAAGCAGGACAGTTGTGGGACTCCACCTTTCCACAGTTTTCAAAGCTGACCGGGCAGTGAGGAGCTGGGGACCATGCCTACCCCTTCAAAGTCCACCACAGGCAATCAGGCAGATGCTAATGAGGGTCTGCATGGACCGACCAGGCCAGGCTGGAAACAGTTCCCAGCAGGATCCGTCCGCACTGCCCAGGAGCACGGATGTCCCCAGGTCAGCCCGACTCCTGCAGCACTTACCCACACCCTCCCCCTCTCATTTAGTCCTTTTATGATGCCTTTTCAATCTCATTTCTAACCTCAGATCCAAATATAAAGAAGCCTTTCCTTAGTCCTGAAACAGAAACCTGGTCCTGCACTTTTGTTCTCTTCAAACCTCTCTTTATTCCGCAATAATAAAAATGCCATATTTCATCCCAGAACAGGCTGCATGCCAAAATAAATAGCACCTTGGATTTCCTTGAAAAGAGCGTTTGGCTCAAGGCATAGCCTCACTGCCACGAGGAATCTTGGAGAATTCAACCTTGCAAAGTCAAATATTTAGCGAGGTAGCACACCAAACAGCAACCCTGCGGATCCCTACACATCACTCGCAAAGACAAAGCACTCCTTCCCAAAGAGAAAAACCACCCACACTGTGGACAGATCTTTCCAGGATGATAAGAGCTTCTGTTTCCCCATCCCAGGACCCCAAGTCTCCAAGTGTAAATGTTTCCTGTGCCGAGAAGCAGAAGGTATCAGACTGCCGCTGCTTCATATTGACAGGGCTGAAGCCCAGACACGGGAGGTAAGACACACTCTTGAGAAAGAGTTCAACGCTCACTTTCTGGCCAGCCAGGGAAACAAAGAAATAACACATGCTCAATAAAGGGCCCGTGACCACTGCCTTACTAACTCCATTCCCACATGTTTCTGCAAGTAGCTGTCATTTTTGCCTGCATTGCAGCAGCTGAGTCTGGAGCTTCATGAAGAAGAGAAAACAGTCCGGAGGAAAGCTGTGGCCACATTACCTTCGCTT